ATGATGACGATGAGGAGGAGGAGGAGGAGAAGGTATTATCTTTACTACAGAAGAAAAAAAGAGTTCACCCACCAGCTGCAGTAAGTTGTGCTTATCATTGAAGCAACCTTTGTTATTATATTTTTTGTGCTAATGTATTTTTCTCTTTCAGAAGATTGAGCTTAACATGAATGAAAACGAAGCATCAGCAAAACAGTTCTCAGGAATCATTCAATAAAGGCAAAGGAGTTTACATCAAGTTGCATAGGATTCATCAGTTGTTCAATATCCATAAAGAATCCATACTGTTCAATTATGCATCAGTGCTAATACTTTCAGATTGTTCAGTCTGACTTTTTATCAGGAACCAGTCAGGTATTCTGTGTTTCACTGATTTATTTTACTCCATCCACATGTTTTGCTTGTGTCCTGGCAATTTTCTTGGAGAAAAAAAGATTGCACAGACCTGTTGTTAAATTATTTTTTAATTATTTTATACTTTTGTTTTGTTGCTGTTATTGTTTCTTGAATAAATTATGGAGAATTGTGAAATATCTTGTCATTTGTCTTTGTATTATAACTATTTATATTTTTAAGTTTTTATATTATGTGATCATAATGTGCAATTTATAGAATCAAAAAGTATGACAGTTTTGTAAATCGTAAATTTAATATATAGTAAATGTTTTGGTATATATAAAACCATTTGATGTAAGTATGGAATTTCTGTTTTTTTCTAAGGGGTTATGGATTGAGAAATCGAGTTTTCCTCGATGTTTTGTCATGAGGTCATTGAACTATAAAAACATCCTGTACGTTTCAGAACTCAAAATGTCCTTGTTTGTCCAAATTTAAAGCATCTTTTATTGAATCTAAGCTCAGAAAACGACCCCTTTGAAAGTTTGTCACATCTTTATGATGTCATGCGACGAAAGACCGTCAGAATCAAATCAACAGGCTTGTTTGAGATGCGCCTCGCCTCGCCTGCAATGTAGTCGAGAGTAGGCGGCTGCAGTGAGGGGAGGAGTGAAAAAAGCGCAATAAAGCCGGACAGATCTCGGTTCTCGCAGTGAATCAGACACCTGTGAGATCAAAGGCGGATATCGCGGGATTAACGGGATTCACGCTCGTGCACGTGTTGCTAATAAACTGTTGGCTTTTATATAAAAATAAATATAATGAACAAGACACCCAAAGTACTTGTTATTTAATTAAATTCCAAATAGCCTATGTGTTTATCAATCTTTTTTTTTTCTTTAATACAGACGTGTTTTTAGGCTATATAGGTAGCCTAGCCTATTGTTTTAACAAAAATGAAATATAACTGTCAGAGAGTTTATTCACCCATATGTATACACATAAAACATGATATCAGTTTTAAAATCAAACATTTTAAAAGAGAACAATTCATCTGTTGTTCTTTTATTTTTATTTTTATTTATTTTACCTTTTTATTAGAATGCAAGTTACAAACAGCCTACCTACAAGCACCACAATTCATGAAACAAATAGGCCTATTATACAGCGACAAATAAATAAACATCAGAATAAAATTAATAATAAAATAACCTAAATAAATAAATCAAAATAAGCTTAGCTTAAATAGACAGACTTAAAAACTTCATCATCTATAAAATGAGAGCTATTTTTCACTTGAACATTTTAGAGTAGGCCTAGTATATTTGAGTTACTGACTATAGCTTTCTTATTTTTAACCCGTTTAAGAGATTCACAATATAGATCAGTTTCAATTTGAAAAAAATAAATAAATAAAACATGGCCTTGATTTGGAGAATTTAGCTTAATGAATATGGAATTTACCTTCATCACTGTTGTTTAAACCAATGAGCATTAAGCTGTGTCGTCAGCAAGTCGTTTCCCATCATGCTTTTGATCAGCGCAGTCGGTGGAGAGCAACTGCGCGCGACTGCAGAATCCGACCCTTCCGTCTTGCGCTCGCGAGAGTTTTTTGACATACGTCGGCATGACATCAGAGCCAGGCGGACCGTTCTCGGACACATTTCTAACCGGCATGCATCTCGCGCTGATCACCGGTGATCGATTCTGCGCAGAATTTGCTCATCTCAAACAAGCCTACTGCCTACTTCTACATCGCATCTTTGGCCCCACCCATTGATGCGTTAAGAGAGATCAAATAATAAGATCAAATAATTTAGGACCCTAAAAATAAACTAGGTTAAGAGTATAAAGAGATCTTAATGCTAGGAAAGTGTAAACCTTTGTGTTGTTTACATGAAGCTGGAAGCCTCAAAGAGGCTGCCAAAATAATATCAGAGACACACAATGAATACATTTTTGATGAATGATTAATGCTGTTGTGATATGTAACTACAGATGTTGTGATATGTAACTACAGATTATGGGAGTCGCGCATGTGTGACGTGATTGAGGCGCCTCAGGAAGCGCATAATGCATGTGACTTCCCGGGATAGATGGGCTAGGAGCAGAGTTCTACATCCATTTCTGGGAGCTTATTCAACTTCATTTAATGCACATGTATAGGGAGTGTATTGATCAAGGGGAAATGACCACAACAATGAAGCAAGGCATTATTTCTTTAATCCCGAAACCTGGTAAAGACCCTCACTTAATCGATAACTGGCGTCCAATCACATTATTAACTATAGATTATAAAATTCTGGCCTCTGTATATGCAAATAGATTAAAATCTGATTTAAATTCAATAATTGCAGAAACTCAAACGGGCTTCATGAAAAACCGCCACATTAGCAATAATATAAGACTCGTTTTAGACTTGCTTGACTATGCTGACAATATTGATTCTGACGCCTTCGCTTTGTTTCTTGATTTTTACAAAGCGTTCGATACAATCGAACACCCTTTTTTAATACAAGCCATCAAAGCATTTGGTTTTGGAAACCGTTTCGTCGACATTGTCAGTATGTTTTATAAAGATATAAACAGTTCTGTTATCATTAATCAAAATACTTCTCCACGATTTCAGATTAATAGGGGGGTTAGACAGGGGTGCAACATTTCTCCCTTTTTATTTATCTTAGTAACTGAACTACTAGCTATACACTTAGTAAAGGAAGTACATTTTGAAGGAATAAAGATTTTTGGAAAGGAAATAAAGATCTCACAGCTGGCGGACGACACCACCATTTTTTTAAGCAATAAGGACCAGTTGAGCATTGTCTTTGAACTGGTGGAGAAATTCTCTTCTGCGTCTGGTTTAAGGCTTAATCGTTCCAAGTGTGAGCTGTTGCCTCTTCATTGTTGTGGTGACTCCGCTATTGATAACATTCCAGTTAAACAGACTGTAAAATATTTAGGTATACATGTATGTAAAAATATTATAGTTAGACAGGACTTAAATTTTTCGAATAGAATACAGAAAACCAAATCAATATTCAATTGCTGGTTACAAAGAGACTTATCTGTTTTAGGTAGAGTATTACTCTCCAAAGCAGAAGGCCTTTCTCGCTTTGTTTATCCGTCCTTGTCTCTTTTTGTAAAGGACTCCATTGCCAATCAAGTCAACAAGACTTTCTTAGATTTCATTTGGAAGAACAAGTCTCATAGGCTTAAAAAAAATGTTCTCTCTAACCCTAAAGAAAAGGGAGGTCTAGAGATTTTGGATTTTATAAATGTAGTCAATACATTCAAAGTTAACTGGTTAAAAAGGTGCATTCAAAATCCTGATTCGATTTTTTTCTTTATTCCAAATTTTATTTTTAATAAACTGGGTGGGCTTTCGTTTCTTTTAAGGTGTAATTTTCTGCCAAATAAATTACCTATCAAATTGTCCAACTTCCACCAACAGTCCCTCTTGGCCTGGAAATTATCTTTCAGTCACAACTTCTCACCACACAAATCTCTTCTTTGGAGCAACAGCGACATTCTTATTAGGAATAAATCAGTATTCTTCCCTAAGTGGTTCGATAGAGGTATTAACCATATACTCTGCTTATTTGATGATTCTGGCTCCATGCTCTCTTATGAACAGTTTATGGTAGCTCACGATTTCCCAGTACCCTTTAAAGAATTTAAATCCATCACTGATGCCATCCCTAGTGGAATCAGACAATTAATGAAATATCATCTGAGCTATGGAAACAAAGATATCAGAGAGTTTTCTCTTATGTTGGATGGGGTAGAACTGTCTGATAAAAAGTGTAATAATAAACACATTCACCGACATCTGCAAAAGTGTAACTCCATTGTTCCAAGGGGGATGTTTTATTGGAATTCCTTAATAAGTAATGTTAATTGGAAAAAAACATGGTTGATTCCTCACAAATATTGTATCTCTAATAAGGCTAAAGAGGTCCACTTTAAACTTTTACACAATATTTACCCTACAAATTGTTTTGTTGCCAAATTTCTAGACATTGACACATGTTGTACCTTTTGTAAACAGAGCACTGAAACCATTCCTCATTTATTTTTTAATTGTCCAGTTACCAAAAAATTTTGGGATGATTTAGGTATTCATTTTCTCCATTCTCGAAATATAACTCACTCTTTCACCCTGAAAGATATTATCTGTTACTCTTGTTTTCCACAAGATGGCACCCTGGAGTTTGTCATAAACTTTATAATTTTATATGCTAAGTTTTTTATACACAAACAGAAATTTAATAAGTCTTCCCTATATTTTAAGCACTTTATTTTGGAACTTAATTTGCTTCTTAAATCACACGAACTTGTGAAGAACAAGAAGAACAGAAAACTTGTTTCTCAATATTTTGACCTATTCCCCAATTCCTCTTAACATCCTTATTATTTTTCCTCTTTCATTTACTATGTATGTATGTATGTATGTATGTTTCTTTTTGTTGCTGTTATCTTTTTTTTTTTTTTTTTTTTTTTTTGTATTTGTTTTGTTTTTGTTTTTTTCTTGCTTCTGTTTTTGGTATGGTTTTGTCTGTACAAACGCTTGATTGTATATTGATGTTCTTCTTGTTTGTACTAGTTATTGTTATCAATTAAAAAAAAAAAAAAATAAAAAATAATGCATGTGACTGTGTTTTGCTCGAGTAACTTAGCTGTAGATATACGAGTCAGTTAATAAAATAGTTCTTTGCCAGCAAGACGACTTGGTTCCTCTTTCATCTAAAAGCATCGACACATGACAAATGCTTTAGTAAATGTCAAAAAACTTTACATGCTGTACTCATTCTGCAACCAAATACCACCATATGAAGGAAATTTTTGCAAAGGTTTTCACCGTGTCCCTCTAGAGGCTCCGTCTTAAAGTTTATTGCAACACAAGAATGTGTTGTGAAATAAAGGGAAATAAAAAGACTGCACTGATAGCTGGAAAAGGGAACTGGTGCTACCAAAGTGCTCACTGAACTTCATTTCCTTTTTGAGTTTACACTCCAGCCAAATGTGTTATGTGCATTTGACCGTAAACCTTGCTATCAAACGACTCCTATCAAGCCAACAGAGAGCTAGTGTCAGTCATGTCTGATGGCGCTGGAGTTTTGGAGGTGGAAGAAGACGATGAGTGCTGGGCACGGCTGGAAGACTACAGAATGCTTCTCATCAAGACCATTGAGCCATCAAGGATAACACCTTATCTGAGACAGTGTAAGGTTCTGAGCAGCGAGGACGAGGAACAGATCTACAATGACCCCAGTCTGGTTATCAGACGCCGAAAAGTTGGTAAGAGGTGTCAGACCACCTAAAGTTTGACTGTTAGGATTTCAGACATTAAACATGCAAAAAAATGTTGTTGAAAGGGATATTTACTGTGAAATTCAAAGCTTTCTATCTTATTTTCTAAGCAGATATTCTGATATGAACACCCCAGTTATCTAGATATTTATATAGACATCAGGAATGAGTATTTTTATTCACTGTAGGGGTGCTGCTGGACATATTACAGAGAACTGGCCTCAAAGGATATGAGGCATTTTTAGAGAGTTTGGAGTTGAACTACCCAGATGTGTACCGCAAAATCACTGGCAAAGAGCCTGCTAGGGTCTTCTCCGTACTAATTGGTAAGTTGTACATTTTTAATTGATTCCTTTAGTATACTTTTTTCGAATGTATTATATCATGTAATATATATATATGGGTGATTCTTCAATTAGGGGAACTTTTATGTCCCCAGGTTATACATTCATGTTAAAAATACAATATTATAAAATAAACAGTTTAGTTATTTAAAATTATATTTATTGTACCACGAAAAAATGTTATACACTAAAATCAGTATGATTTCCATTTTTAAAATTATTTTCATCACTAATATTTGGCTATTCAGGCCTTGTCCCCAACCCAGACTTCAAAACTTGTCTGCTCTGAAAATGTGATAAAATGTAATCAGTTCATTAAACAATTACAATATATGTTTAAACAGTAACTTTAAAAGGCACTTGATGCATAATTCGGGTTAATATCTGTGCAATTTGTGAATATTTTTAACAATTTAGTATTGTCCACAACAATACTGTCATTACCGCAACAGTCTATAATTACAACAAGGATATTTCTGAGGGTGAGACTTGTTTATGCCGTAACCATGGAAATGAAGACTAGAAGTGGAGCACATGTCAGCCATGAAAGAACAGTGAAATTTGATGTCTGAAAAAGTAAGTTATTTAATCTTGAATTCTTTCTGATCATGGAGTAGACTTATTCAGCGTCATTACCATAAATGTTGTAGCAGCAATATTTTGATACATTTATATATACATTCACGTGATTTATGTGTATTTAAAGTTTTTTGTACTAGCTGTTGAGTAATGTTAGCAAAACCATGACCTAGCATCTTTTTTTCCTGAAAAAAATTAAAAATATCATTACCGCAACACGTCATTACCAACACACAACTTGTTGTGATGGTAATGACAAGTGATGGTGGTAATGACATGTTCCGTGTCACTATCTATATCATATTGTGTGTTTATTAATTAAGTTAAAAAAGCATAATACTGTGGTTTTACAGTGAAACTTAAGTGATAGGTCTTACTTCATAAAACAATTTTTTCTTATTTTTTTAACCAGAATGGCTTCCAAGAAATCAACAGAAAGGTCTAGAGATTATAGAAAAAAATTGAAGGGAGATCCTGTAAAATATCAGCAGTATGTTTACAGAGAAAAAGAAAGATACAAAAGAAGAAAAGAAACAGGAAAGCTTAAAGTAATCTCTTACTTTAACACTTTAGTAAACACTTTTAGTAAACTTTAAAGTAAACACTTTAAGGCATTTTTCCACTACACAGTACCAGCTCGACGGTGTTAGGCCTACCACTCATAAGCAGTGTGGAACCTGTGTTAGACTGGGTCCATACGTTGCGGTCCCTACAGTGACGGGAGTGTGTGATGCAAATCACGCACGCCAATTACATTGGCTCGTTCAATAGTACTCGAAGAACATAGGCTCTCTGGCGCGATCCCCATTCAGTCAACAGTCGACAACGTCCTCCGTTCCCTCCTTCAGGGAACGGTGGGTTGCATACGCAACCAGGGCGATTTCTTTTAACAACACTCACCAAAAGTCATTATTTTAAGCCTTTAAATTTGCTTTACGTATCAGTGCACTTTTCATTTATGTCATTACCAAAACACTATGTCATTACCAGAACAGTATGTCATTACCGCCACGTTGCTTAATTTACAGCAAATGTACCTTTAAAAATGTTTTATGTTCAATCCTGAGGTGCTACATGAAAAGCCTAATAAAATACTCATTCACCTATTCAAAGAAAAAACATCTAAAATTAATTTTCCAGAAATTAAACAAAAGTGTGCTTTGACGAACACAGAAAAATACGTTTTTATGGTAAGAACAAGAAAATATCCGTAATTCGCTGAGTGGAAACCTTTTGTTTTTTATACGCATTGTTAAAGGTTAAAACTATTTGCAAGATAAATGAGTTTAAATGATCTCCTTGATACATTCTGTGCATTATAAGACTTTTTGATGTTGTGATGGGAATGACATTTTGAAGTGCCAGTTGACAAATAGATATAAAATACTCAAATAATATTTAAGCTCAGTTGCGGCCATTATTATATCTTTACATCAAAACATGTAAACATTGTCTTGACATAATTCTAACAAAATTTAACCAAATTTCATTAATCAAAATCTAAGATGGCAAAATAGCCCCCAATTGAAGAATCACCCATATATATATATATATATATACTGTATATATTAGTCACATATTTTATGCAAAAGGATAATTGCTTTGATAACTGCTATCATCATAGACCAAAGGAGAATAGACTTGCCATGATTTACAAGGTACTCCAGGAGGTCCTTAAAGAGGGTAGGATATATAAACCATTTAGAATTTCTATTTGCTTATATTTACATTATTTTTTTTATTATGAACTAATTTCTATCTGAAGATCTTTTTATATTTTAAGCAATAATACAAGTCATGTTAATCCGAACATCAGCACAGTTGTGATTCACCATTGGCATATTGCCACAAAAAAAAAAATATTCTGACCAACAGCACAATTGCAAGTGTGACCTAAACATATTCAACCATTGCGCATCTTCAAGCAACACACGGAGGCCGGTGGCATTTGAGTGAATCAGAGTTTTTTAATGATTCGGTTAAATAAATAATTCAATGACTCATTCATAAGACAGCTGGGCTGAATCCGAAATCGCCCCCTATTCCCTATGCTAGTTCACTAATACAGTTCACTTGAAGGAGTGAATAAAAAGGAGTTCCGAATAATTCAGAAATCAGAATCGTGATCAACTTGAAGCAGACTTATCGGTGTATGACAACAGCAAGAGCAATTAGAGAGCAAACCACTCTGTATATGTTCTAATCCCTCTCTCGGTTGGCATACACCAATTGGTCTGTGCATCGCCACTTCAAGTCACTTTTAGGCAAAAAACATTATGTGAAAAGAGTAATATGCCTGAATTCACAGTATTTAAAAAAGAAAGGGCAAAGTGAAAAGTACAGGTAGATGGAGCACCTGCTAGGCCAGTGTTTCCCAAACTTTTCTTTCAGGGGACCCAATTTTTAAAGTCGATAAATTCTTGTGACCCAATAAACATTAGGCCCAAATAGTTCATATATCACAAAGAGAATTTATGCATTAACAAAATATGTATGACCATTTTAAGTTCAGTTAAGCTTCCAGTTAACTATTTAAAAGAGATACAGATATTTGACAAAGCACTTTTTTTTTATTTTCCTGTTGTTGACAATAAGCGAAATGCAGAGGTGAAATGAGAAAGGAAGAGTTGACAGGGCATCTCATTGTTTTCATATTATCATTATTACAGTGTACACAATTTACTATACTAATTATTATAAGCTTAAATTAAAATATCCTGGCAGTGAGACTTTGTAATCATGCATGGTTCACTACCACTGTATAAAAAATGCCTAAACAGGTAAAAAACTATACACACAATTAATTATATATTCCTCTACCCCCCTAATAAATCTAATGCAATATAAATGACTATAACATAGTATTCAATATAAATATTCCACATTTATGCCCAAACCATGGTAAATTATTACATGCATAGGCTATTACATGGTAAATATTTGTAAGGGTGGTGATTAGGGCATTTAGTTTTCTAACTTTGTTCATGTTTCTGCTATTTACCTCATCAGTAGCTTAGTGTTGGGAATGTTAAGGCTGTTTCATCCGATTTAAAACTAGTTAAAATCATTGAGTGATTTGTGGTTTGTAAGAGAGAGGAGTGTCCGATGGAAACGCTTCTCACTGGATGTTGCAACGCTGTTTAATAATAGTGTCAGGGACCGGGAGTAAACACAACTCCTTTAAGCTTTGCGTTCCGTTATCCACTGGCCCGTGCTACCTAGTTCAAAGTAAACTAGTGAAACAACTGAAACCAGCGCTATTTTGTCCTCTATTTGTTGTTACTGACCGAGACACCGCTTCAGGTGGACAAATCCGAATCGTTTCAGACCGTTATGCACGCACGTTTAGCCAATTCATTGAAAGAAAATAATCAAACCAACGAATGATTAATATCTCTGGTTCAGTCGACAGAAATACGGGGCACACATAAGAACTGCTGAAATATTCGGACTGTAAACGTTTCTCTCAGGTCAGTCGGAGCGCTCATGGTACACACACGGAGCGTATAGTCGTCCAGCTCCACACGCCACTGCGGCGACGCGCATATCTAACCAAATTTAGCCGCACCACCAGAAAATAGGAGGAGGGAGGTTGGGGTGCCCTCGGCCGTATGGAGATGATTGGCAGGCAGCACAAAAGCGTCCCTGGGAAAGCGCAATCTTGCAGCCTGACAAGATATGCTGGAGGCTTGCGTTAGGGGTATTGCAAAGTGCACAGCCTTCCTCACTTCCGAACCACTGGTGAAGATTCAGAGGACAGGGAAGTGTGTAGTAGGTTGCATGGATGAGGAAGCTGAGCCTTGCCTGCGGGATTTTCCACAAGTCTGTCCAGGTGATGTTTAGGTTGACAATTCCCTTCCAGGTTGTCCACCTTCCCTGTCGGCCCTGCAACAGAGCCTTGATCTTGTAGCGCTCTTTATCCATTCTTGTCACCTCCGCCACCAACATCTCTTTCCTCTCTCAGAACCGTGGCGCTTCTCCCCACCCTAGCCCTGCTCTTCCTGCCTGGACTCTGCCGACAATCTCTTGATGTTGCAGACGACTGATGGCTTGGTCGACCTCAGTTTGGGCATTCCACTTTCTGCCTGTCCGAACCTTGGGGTTTGCATTCCTTACAGCCTGGTCAGAAGACTCTCTCAACTCGAGAAACAGCCTGGTCTTTTCCTGCTTGTATCCCAGACTGATTGATTGAAATGGCAGCTGCAGGGTGTTCCTTCCGAAGAGACCTGTTTCTGAGAGTCACCGTGGCAACCCCAACCACTTTCGGATGAATGTGTTGGCTTTTCCATCCATCTTGCTTGCGGTGGATGAGGGGATCTCACTCATTTTCAGTGGCCACATCACCCTCCTATAGAGTGTAAATTGGTAACACCAGACCTTGTACTTTCTTGAGAGTTGGCTTTGATCGATCTTTGCCAGTCCTTCTGAGAGCTGTTTAGTCACTGTTCTCCCCATCTGTTTGTCTGTAAGATCTGCTGTGTATGCCTCTCCAGGCTTTTAATGGGTTGCTCAGAGAGGAGTGGGATTTTCTCTCCCCCTATGACGAAACACGTGCTGTCATTTCTGACTCCTCTTCTGAGGGACAGGCTCCGTGATTTTGATGGCTTGATCCTCATTCGTGCCCACGACATCAACTCGTCCATCCGTTTCAGCAATCTTAATGTGCATGCTGCAGTCTGAAGGAGGCTGATAACGTCGTCCATGTACATCCTCAGAGGGGGTAGTCTCTGCCCAGATGGTAGTTTGTCCCCCCCAACCATTTGTCTTGCTCCAACGAGGATTACCTCAAAGGCTGACACGAACAAGATGGGATATATGGCACAACCCATGGCGATTCCTACTTCTAACTGTTGCCACCCGGTGGTAAAATCTTTGAGGGCAAAGCACATCTGCAGGTCATTGAAGTAGGATGCAACCATGTTCTTTATGCAGGAGGGCATATGGAAGAACTCCATGGTGTAGGTTATTAGCTGGTTTGGGACTGATCCATGCGTGTTAACAAGGTTGAGCCAGACAACATGCAGGTCTGTCTTCTCCCGTTTGGCCTTCTGGATTTGGTCCCAGATCATTGTAGAGTGCTCTACACACCCTGGGAACCCTGGGACTCCTGCCTTTTGGCAGTTGGTGTCAATGTAGCCATTCTCGAGAAGGTAGGTGGTTATCCTTCTGGCCAACACTGAGAAGAAGATTTTTTTTCTTCTACGTTCAACAGAGCGATATTTCTTAACTGGCTAATGTATTTGGAGTTCATTTCCTTGGGGATGAAGACCGTTACAGCTCTTTGCCACTTTTGATGGAATGAGTTGCTTTTTCCAGGCAGTTTTTCCAGGCAGTCCTGAGCTTGGGGGGCATGATGTTAAATGTTAAATATTTTTTATTTTTATTCTAATTTTTTTAAATTATTTACTGTATTTTATTTTTATTATTATGATTTTTTTTATTTATTCTGATTTCTTTTGATTATTTTAATTTCTTCCATGTAAAGCAATTTGAATTGCCACTGTGTATGAAATGTGCTATATAAATAAACTTGCCTTGCCTTGCCTTGAAGTAGTCGGAGATGCAGGCTTAGGCACGTACCCTGGTGTTCCTAATGGGACATTCCTCACTGGATTGCTGTACTGTTCTCTTACGTGCTGTTCCAGTTTCTCCCTGGTGGTTTTGAGTTTCTCACTCTTCTTTTCCTTCAGCAGCTGTCTGGCATGCTTAAAGGGGTCTTTGAAGAAGCTGGCTTGTTCTTTCTGTTTCCGTTTGCTGCATTTACGGATACGTTCAGCCCTGCGAAGCCTGGACAGTCTTTGCCTCATCTCCTGCCACAAGGCTTTCAGACCCTCTTTTTCTGCCAGCGTTGCCTTCCTCCAGTTCTTTCGTAGTTATTGGCGCCTTCGCACTAGCAGGTCAATCTCCTTTTCCCTCCCTCCCTTACCTCTTTGAGCGGTCCTCTGGTTGGAGGTCGCTTCGCCAAACCTGTTCTTACAGGCCTGATATAGCACATCCCCAATCTGGTTGAGCTTGGATTGTGCCCCTCCTCGCAGAGATCCTTCCAGTATCTTGGCCAGGTCAGTGTCCAGTGTTCGCCATGCCTCTGTCTCGCATCATTTTGGCCATTTGAGCTTTCCTTTTCTGGTTGGTTTCTTTGTCTCTGCTTTTGGCTCTGGCCTGTGTGAGTTGGTGGCAACAGGGTCTTGGTACTCACGTGGGGGCTCTCCCTCCATGGGCCTTCTTCCTCTGTGACATCTTTGCCTTTTGCATCATTGGGTCCATCAGCTCTGTGGTTTGATTGATTCCACACACTTTCATGCTATGTAGAACAAACTTTTTTACCAGTTAATAAGTATTTAATTTAAAAGAAGTACCTCAGAAAGGACTGCATGTAATTTTAGACGCAGTCAGTGACTTCATGCCTGAATGAATCACTGTTTTGAACAAATCCATTCTATGATTGATTCAATGACTCACAAGACAGTCACTTGTTGTCACCATCTACTGGTCTTACAATGTAAACTGCGGAAAGAGTCACTGAAAATCCCCCACCTCAAATGCTTACTGTACAGTCTGGAAGATACATAGATGCAGATGATACACACAGTAAAAAGTCCCCATGCTGTTGGAGCATCCCCCGGTCAATCACATTTGAGTAGCCTACCGACACTGTTTTATAAAATGCAGTAATGTTATTCTAAATGAAATTTAAAACAAAGTGTTTGAGGAAAATACTAGCTTTTTATCCTGAGGGTCCAGGAGTGATATGCCAAACCCCTTGATTATGTTGTCATGGGCCTGTATAAAACCTTCTGCTTTATACTCTCCCTGTCCAACCAGACACTGCCGGCGAATGTGGCCTTACTCAGTTCCTCATGAGCGAGGTGTCTCGCCTACAGAAGCTTGCACACGATGAACGGAAGGCGCGACTCGAAGCGTCTGCACAGGCGGCAGAGCAGCTGGACACCATCCGCCAGCTGCAGCTGCGGGACAGCGAGCTTCACAAACAGCAGGACCGTGTGCAGCGCATCCGAGAGGAGCGTGAGCGCATATGCGAGGAAGCGCGCAAACTGAGAGACGAGAATTATCGACTGATGCACGACCTGACCCGACTGAGCGAGGAGAAGAACTGCGCGCTCATGTGTAACAGAGACCTCCAACTCGAGGTGATCAGTCATTCTATCAGGATTCAGGAAACAGGAACATGTCCGGGTCATAGTTCACCACAAAATGTATGGATATAATGCACTTGTTTATTTGGGTTTATGGTTGTAACATGTTGACGTTGGAGGAAGGGCAATATGAGGAAAGTAACCTATTAGATTAGATAAAATATTTTTTTAAATATAATTTTATATCTTTTTTCTTGTCTTTTCTCTCTTTGTATTTATTTCCCCCCTTTTTGGTCCTTTCTATAAGATTGAGAAATTGAAACACAGCCTAATGAATGCAGAAAGTAACTCAAAGATCCAACGGAAAAAGACAATAACTTTGAAAAATGCCATGGAGCAAAGGCCGAGTCCAGAGATGGTCTGGCAGCTGCAGAGAGAAAATGATCTTCTTACAGCTCGTATACAAGAGCTTGAAAGTGCTTCCACGGTAACTCAGCCTCACTTATCAGACAACACTAATCAAGATATGATTAAAGATGACTACCACACACACACAATTCATTCACACAGGTCAAAACTCTGGAGCATGGAAAGCTTGGTTCACAGTCATTGGAGGATTTAAAGCAACAAAGTCAGACACAATACCAGGAGCTGGTGAATGATCTCTACAATCTAAGAAGAGATCTACATGATGCAGAAGAGTTGCGGGATAAGGTGACCTTTGTTTACATGCAAACTGGACCGAAGAGAACTCTCATTTGTATTATGCTTTTCACATTATAATTACTTTTTTGTTTTTCATTTTAAATTTAAGTATCGAGAAGAGAAGGATGAGTTGGAACTGAAGTGCGCAATGCTAAGAAAGGACTCCAAAATGTATCGTGATCGAATGAAAGACATTCTGAAGCAGCTGGAAGAGGTGATCAAAGAAAGAGACAAGGTATAAACAAACCCTTATCTTTGCATGGCAGAGCATATCAAGATCGTGTTGTACTGTCTGGCTTACACTGGCAACACTAATTTTGCTGGTTCCCACAATCTGCACCACAATTTAGAGGGTGTCACAGGTGGCACCAAATTAATATTGTGTCAATTAATGTCAAAACAAGGAAGAATTAACAAAAAATATAGATGATAGTAACCACTACTAAAATGAATATCACGAATGGATAAGGAAATAAAGGACATAAGATTGCAAAATCCAGATGATTGAGTTACTATGGCAGTTACACATATCTTATGGAAAGATAAACCGTTGTTTATCTAATCTAAAAGGTGAAGAACCTTATTCTGAATTCAACAAATAAACTGATTGATTATTACTTGCACCAGCTATGCAAAATCTAATGCAAATTAGAGAATCATATACTCATTAGTAATTCAATACAATACTAATATCAAGGTGTCTAGAATGAGGTTGGGTTAAGTGAAATTTACGTTATGATGAGTCCGGTGACAGTGATGTCTTCTAATGGTTGTGCTGGGCTGTGCTGCATTGGGAAGAAAGGAGTTGGATTAGGTTTAAACAACCTTGAACCTGAAGTTCTGCGGATGCTGATGGTCCTCGTCTGGAACACGTAGAAGGAAGAACCTTCTAGTTGAATGTTCTGATATCTGTGTAGAAGATTCAGACTATCTGGTACATGCAGATGGAGGATCCTTGAAGTCTGTGCAGAAGGTCCTGATAATGGAGGGGCACTGATTGGTCGTTGATGATGTTTTTGTTTCTGTTTCCAAGCTCCCCGAAATTCCCTTCTTGCAGAACTTTCTTGGTTCTCTTTTTAGATCTTCACAGTATTTTCCAACAAAACGCAACAAGAGTTTGAGAGTTTTTCTGTTAGCAACAACCTAACAGAAGTTAGGTTTTGTCTCCTGAGGAGGAGGGGTTTGCAAATCGTCAGCTTTCCAATCTAGCAATTACAGATTAACATAGGCCATGTGCTTAACACATAGAGTCTAAGTTTTCATTGTCCACTGAAACTCAATCACACCGAAGGGAAACTTTTCCACAAATATGTGGAAAGGTGCAGTATAGTATCACCGTCTTCTGCACTTTGTTATTGTTCTAGTCATTTACCTATTGTGACTAATGAATCAAAAGTCTCGGACATACACATAAAATAGCTTACTTCTGTGTTGTAAAATAAGATGGATTGGTCATTTTAGTTTATATAAAGGCCATTCTCTATGGTGTTCAATTTAATTAAATGTATCTTTTCTATGCATTTCATTAACTGCTACAATTGTATGGCACTGCCCATTTGATAGGCTATTTGTACAAGAGAGGAGTACCATTTGGAGAACTCAAAAAATCTTCAAGACAAGGACCAGTACCGCAAACAGATCCGGGAGATGGGAGAACGTTATGATGAACTTCAAGTGCAGTTTTTTCGAACTCAAGGAGATGTTCTTGCTCTTCAAGCAAAACTTCGCAAACAGAAGAACCCAATTCAAGTGGTATGTGCTTGAAAACTGTTACATGTATAAATGGAACAGATTAAACATGCATTAGTTTTTTTTTTTGGTCACCCTTATGTGAGCACATTGTCTATGCACAAAATGTATGGCCACTGGGTTACAGTTTATAGTGAATAGTAAGCTGATTATGATTTGTTTTATTCCTCAGAACTCAGAAGAAAACTCTTTGCTCAGTTCATTTGAGGTAATTTTGATTAGCTTTCTCTTAACATGATATAAATGCAAAAACCCTTCAGAACTCACTGCATATATAACGAATATATTATATTAGTCATCATCAACAGGGTTGTTTACTTTTTATCCACAGCTTAAAAGTCAAACTAGCGAAGAGGAGACCAGGGAAAGGGGTGAAAAGGGTAACTTTAGGGTAAATCAGATCTCATGCTCAAAAATAGATTGTTCTCATTTGTTAAGCATTGTTTGTTTTTTCTCATGCAGATATGAGTGAAGAATCACAGAGCCAAACATCTGGCGAGTACCATGTAGGTTGTTTTTGTGGTGAATGTTTATGCATACAATGAAAGTGGCTTTATTTTTTTAAATGGCATTTTTCATTATTGCAGTCGTGTCTGTATTCCCAGAGGATGTTCTCTGAAGAGGACGCCACAGGTAACTGCAGACAAAAGTGTGAGATTAAAGGAAAATGCAACTTCCATGACAGGAGGTTTGTTTTTTATTCTTTCATAACCACAATATAACCATTAAAGGTAGGGTTGGCAATTTCGGAGAGGCTAGCAATGGCAAGCTAGCTTGGAAAGTATAAGATCCCTCCATCTCTTCAAAGTCACGCCTCCTCCAAAACACATGACCGCACACAGCCAGTGCAGTCTGCAAAGCGCCACAAGAGACGGCATTAAAATTACCTCATGCCTCAAAGCACATAACATTACAATAATAATTAACGTAAACAACTTACAGATCTCTTACATTTGGACCGAATGCAATGATTGGACAAACATTTTTTGGTCCTTAGACTTCCACAGACGATATAGATTAAATAAAATAAAAATTGCCTTCCCTACCTTCAAAGCAGAGCTTCTGAGAGAAGTAATTACTGTGTTTCAGATCTTAATTAAACTGCCAATGTGATCTTGTACAGGAAACGTGCTTTAAGAACCAGAAAAATCACAGACAAAGAGAATGTCCCAAGCATCCTAGACAACACCACCGAGAGTGATACAGATGGGATGTGACTCACAGCTTTGGAGAAGATGAAGAACTGTGGCCTTCTTTGAAAGCATTTAATCCCAATACAACATTGTTCTACATCCAGTGACTCATAAAACCTGGTTGAAGGTGCTCTAAGTCAACTTCTTGTTGACGTGCGAACTTATTGTCAAACAAAACGGAGGCTAGCTCGACTTTCCCTCCTCCTCATATCCCGTCCCCTCCCTTCCGTGCTTCCTGAAACAGGCTTTTCCGATGTAAATTCGGGACTAAACTCGTTCCCGCTCCTTTTCCCTCTTCTTTGCTGTTTGTTCATCGGTTTCTTTGGTCGTGTGTTGGCCATATCAAAATTCAAGAGAATATAATTCTAACGTTAGTGGTTGCCGTTGTCTTGGACATCTCTCCTCTATAGCTAACTTCCCTCTTCATGCTTCTCTCTCCTCCACTCCCCACACCCCCCTTCATGTGCCCGTGCACTAACCCCCCAACCCTCACCCCCACCCCAAATCATTATTGGCAGGAACACTATGTTTTCTGTTTCAGAATTGGAGGAATGTCAAACCTAAGAGAGCAGAGTAACTCAATCCCATTTCTAAAAGAGAGCTAACTTAGTCAGTTACCATGGTAACTTTGTGAACCTTAGCTGGTCGGGAGCAGGTTTTCTTTGGTAAACCCAAAGTTTTTCCTTATGTAGGCTAGTAAATGCATTTTGATTTAAACATTTCGGATATTTTGACTGGAAAAAAAACAGGCTTTTTTTTAAGTCCATTGCACATTTTTATATAACATCAGAGATGCAGAGGCCATAAGTAAGGAAGGCCACTCTATCAGAGTGGGAAGGAAAGTGTGCCTCCCTCTCACACTCTTTCTGAGTTGTTGTGTTGTTTCCTCGACACAAATCCGTGAGATCCATCAAAGAGTTTCACTGGGTCAGTGGTGGAGAAATTGGTTTAAATGTGGATAATCTGAGAAATGACATTCACTTGATAACATCTTGATGCGACCTCTGGAAGTAACCTGATAATTAGAATTTCCTTTAGGATTTCCAGTGTGGTTGGATGTTGATGACACACATAATCCCATCATCACACCTTCCGAAAATGAACCAGATTACTGTTTTGAATGGGAGGATGCCAGATGGAAGGGTAGAGAAATATGTCGTAACCACCACAGCTGTTAAATAGACAAATTATTCACAAATTATTTGGTCATCTTTATTTCCTTCAAATACAAAAGAAATAGTAATAATGTTTCTGTTGGATTTTAATATTCTTCCAGTATTGTGTATCTCCTGTTCATCTACCAGTGGGGATGCAGGTCCATCCTCTGTTGGCAGAGTAGAAGTCAAATGTTATTTTCATTAGCCTAATTAAAAAATGTGAGAAGATTAAATTATGTGAAAAGAGCATTATGCTTCATGGATTCACGTGTGGCATATTGAAATAGACACTGAATTATATTTATTTAGCATGTCAAATGTTTGTAAAGACATGTACCCTACACAGCCATAAACCTATTATGCTTAAATGATTGAATTATGGTTTTATTGGTTTTAGTTTAGTCAATCTTAGTTGGATTTAATAAATGTCCACTTCTCCCGAAATACATGAAAGTAAGTGGCCAGTGAACTGGGAGAAGCAAGGAGTTGGTAAACTTGAAAGTTACTCACACAATGTGTATTTGATATGAATAATATGTGTCGTCTAATTATAGCCTAATGGAAATAATTATTATTGCCGCTTCCATAGACATAAGTATTGACAAAATGTATTGCTTTTTTTGAATGTGAATTTAAATGTCTGAAACCTAAAATAAACATGTGGTTGAAAACACTGAATAGTTGGGATGTCAAGCGGAGCGCTCTCCTTCTCTGGCTCAGAAAAATGTAGCCTACTACAAAACAGGCTAATTGCAGACACTAAATTAATCAATCACTTAATTTTGAACTTTCAAAGCGCACCAGATTTATGAATTTATCTTTAAAAATGTACAAACTTTTCTTCAGAGTTCCCCCAGACCCCCCAGGGGTGCAGAGGTCACACCACACACAAAATACCTTGGGAAACACAGTAGCTTACATGATAGTCTTCGAAAAATACAATTATTATTATAAAAATACCTAAAATGCGTACATTATCTGGACAAACCCTGAGATTTTTATTCTTTTTCAATTTTGTTTTATTTTGTTCTTATTACATGCAGTTTGTGAAGTGACAAAATAGAAACATTTTTATCAACTGTCACGTTTACATTTTTAAAATGTCATGTTTACATTTTAACTTAAAGCCTATATAGTTTATTAACATTTTGTTGGGGCGATTGCACGGGGACAGGGGCATGAACCCTTCCCTATACTTCAAAGTGGGGAAAAAGTGGGGCAGAAAAAGTTTGAGAAACACTGGGATAAATCAACTCAAACACTGGGATAAATCAAGTTCAAGTTTGAACTCAGAGTTGGTTTAACCTCCTAATTCAAATAGGCCCCGGTTTGCCCAGTTTGTTTTTGTTGCCGTCTGGGATATCTACAAGAGACCACATTTTTTTACAGTGTGTTCAGGGGACAGGCTAGCGGATAGTGAGTTTGCTATGTGACAAAATGTTTCAGCCTAAAAAAATGCGTCACATTGTTGCTTAGAGTAGTTTTAATATCAATATCATAGTTTTTACTGTCAAAGTATGTCCAGTCTGTTGTTGTGATGTGCCAAAATCTTTCTGTTGTCTATTAATATTTCTTGAGCAATAACAGTTGAATTGTTTGAATTGTAGGGCCACTTTAGGTAGGCCTATGTGCAGAAACTTGACTTTTTGATAAATAAACTTAAATAAACACTGAAAATATTTACTGATAAAATATCATAAATGTCAAATATCATTATTACCCAGTCTCCTATTTATGGGCATGAATATTGTACTATAAACCTATTTCGTATTTGCATGCGTGACATTATTTTCTTTATTATGACATTTTAAAAGGTAAGACGACTATTAGTGTATTGTGTATTTTAAAACTTTGTTTAGTTATCAACGGCAAGCGCTAATTACTATACGAATTACTAAAATGTAATAAATATGGTTCAGGGGAATTTGTTTGGTTGGACGGAGCACACCACTTCAGCTCACCGCTGGTTGGACTGTTTACTCCGCATGCGTTACCTTTTGCTTGTGTGCATGACTGCCATAGCAACGATTAAACGCTTTAACACAGCACGATTGAACGCTTCCAATAATTCTGACAGTCGTAGATAGATACCATTTGCATTAATCCACAGACTTTTTATTTTGGAAACTCTTATAATAAACGAGTTGTCCTGTTGGTTTCGATATAGTTTGTTTTGAAATAAGAAATAAGCCAATTATTTTTCAGCTACAATGGCAGACACGCATGTGTTACCCAGTGGTAAAGTGTACAGGCAAATGTTTGACGCCCAGGTAACGTTAATAGTACTACCTCATGCTCATATCTAAACGACAAATATGTGTTTTACTTATTGATGATGCTTTCTTAGTAATATTGTGGACATTCAGGATTGAAGACTTGCTGTAGTGTGGCCTAATGTGCCGAGGAAACTCTTGGCGAATGTGTTGATTGTGAGTGTTTGTCCTCAGGTTCAGTTGTCTCTGGCTCTATATGACTCGCGGAGGAAGCGCGTGGCGGATGAAGACGACTGTCTGCTGAGTGGAGAGGATGCTGCAGACTCGGCATCACAGCAGCTCAATGAGACATCTCTGTATGATAATGCTGCTATGCTCAAAACATCAATTGGCAATTATCAATTTTGATTTTAATGTGAAGATTTTAACCTGAAAATTTCCTCTGTTTGATAGGAACACAATTTATTCAGGTAGAAAGAGAAAGGAGGACCAGGATGATAGTGAGGAGGTTTGGGGTCTTCCAGACACTGTTGGTGAGAATAACTAATGCTTGATTGTTTGCACCATGGAATCTTGAAAAGAATTGTTTAGAGGGAAGTGGTTGGAAGTGAGCTGTAAAAAGGAACAGGAAAAGAACAATACATATTTACATGTTTGTTACTCCATTTTACATGTATCATACACAAACCTAAAAACACTAACATTTTAAACCAGAATTTGTTAAAGGATTAGGCTATTTCACTTCAGAATGTAAATATCCTGATAATTTACTCAGTCATCATGTCATCCAGGATGTTCATGTCTCATTGTCGTTTTTCAGTCAAGAATAAATCAAGGTTTTTGAGGGAAACATTCCAGGACTTTTCCACATATAGTGGATGTCAATGGGATACAACAGTTTGAAGGGCCAAGTTACAGTTTCAATGCAGCTTTCAACATAGTCCCAGCCGAGGATTAAAGGTCTAATCTTAACCACAAATGATCATCTTTCAATTACATTAAAAGGTTTTAATAAGTTCGAATGTATATATATTTCTATTTTATTTTTAGAAAATGACTGATCGTTTCGCTAGATAAGACCTTTATTCCTTGGCTGGGATTGTGTGTAAAGCCCTTTGAGGCTGCATTGAAAATGAAATTTGCCCCTTCAGCCCATTGTACCCCCATTGAAGTCCACTATATGGAAAAAAATCCTGGAATGTTTCCCTCAAAACCCTTAATGTCTTTTCAACTGAAGAAAGAAAGACATGAACATCTTAGATGACTTGTGGGACAGTAAATTATCAGGAAATTTCTGGGAAAATTTGAGAATTTTATCAGGAAAGTCTGAAGTGAACTAATCCTTTAAATTAGAGTCAAAGAAAAAGGTTTTCCTCCAATATTATTAATCAATTAATTTATATAATAAAGACAAATTACAATACATGTCCCAATATTTTTTAATATGGAAGCCAGTTCTAATTACAAACCTGTTGACCTAGTGATCTTTCCCAAAGTCTTTTAATTCACCTTTGGCTAAGCCACGCCCTATAATGTAGATTGACCAATCACAGCGCAGCCAAGAACGAGCTCCCACAGAGGTCGGACACTTTTTCACAAGGCTCCATTGACTTTCAACACAGCCGTCTCATATTTTTGGTCTCGGCAGGCTATTACCGTCGTAGTTTTATCCAAAATATGGTTAAACATTGTGCCTGGGGCATTTGTAACACAGATACACGTTTCCCAGAGAGGTTGGAGGGGTGTGTCCGTTGTTTCCCTTCCCAAAACCAAAGTAAAATCCTGACAAGTGTCGTCTTTGGATTAAACTGTGTGGACGTCCTCAGTCAGCTAAACCACGCAAAGATTAACAAGCACATTTTTTTTTTACTTCTAACATTACTGTGAGTGTGAAGTTGTACCGTTTTATAATGTTTTAGGTTATGATTTCAGTTCTCATACCGGTTGTTGATACGCTAGCACACGCTGCTAATAAATACAACGTTATACTCATGTAACGTTAGTCCGTTTGCTTTGTAATAACGATTATAGAAGTGAATAGAGACCTAACTTACCCAGCTTTGCATGAACAGTGTTGCTCCCAGATATTGTTAGTCCCAGCCTCCGTCTAGATTAGTAGGAAATGCGGTGGTTCATTTTTTGACTGTGACTGGTAACTTTATGCTTTTGCCTCTATTTTGGATGCCTTTTTGTTTCTTGCGTTTGTATGTCTTGAATATAGCATTCGAACGCATATTGCAGCCCCCTTTGCCTACTTCTATCCGACACTTTATTTGCTGCTTTATAAAAGTTTGATAACATTTCATCAGGAAGAGCTGTCACTGCATAAGCCATGCAGAGCGCAGATGAAGTTTGACGGATGTAGCAACAGTAACTAAGGGGGGCGGGGCTTATCCAAAAGTGAATTAGAACTAAAAGTCAGTGTGTTGCGATTCTGTTTTGTTTGTAGTTCCAGAGAAAAAAAACTCAGATATCATTGATCGTCTTATGGAGAAAAGGCAAAAGGAACACAATGAAGCTGTTTCTCAGTTGCAGACAGATCTCGCCAGCCTCAGTGAGGTAAAAATGTCTATATACTGTATATATCACCCAAATATGTGGTCATTCGAGCCCAATTTAAATGTTGTGCATTAGTTATCAATACATTATGATAATGTGCCTTATATAGTGATATTTCTGCATTTAGGGTTTTGAAACATTATTTAGAGAGACGGGAAAAGACATCCTGCCCAGATTGTCTGAGAATAATGACAATATTGAAAGACTTATGCAGAAGATGGAAAATGTTTCTGATTTGATGGCACATAGCTATCAGGTGAGGACCAAATGTCAAAAACAATATTTGCTTACTTCTGAAATTCATCATTTTGTTGGATCACTCAAGTGTTACCCATCTGTTGTCTTATAAAGGACATGCATGAGATCTGGGACAAAGTCTGTCATGAATCTGCCTTGAAAAAGAAGTGGATTAAAGAGCTAGATGGGATATATGCCAAATATGAATCTGAGAGAAAAACCATGGTATGTGGTCTATATTATGTAAAACATATATTGCTGCAGTCAGTAGATTAGGACACTGCTTGTTTGTTCCTCTTCCCTAGATAGCAGAATTACTGAGAAAATACACCTCAAAACTGGAGAAAATCAGTTATTTGATGCCGTGTGATGTACACAGACTGATTGACAATGAAGCCATGGTAGGATATTCTACTTGACAAATATGTATTTGTATGCATTATATTGTTTTTTGGCATGAGTCCATGTTCTCCACAGATGATAAACCAAGCCCTGCTAGCAAATCGACGTGCTTTGGCCAAACTGTGTTTGAATTTGATGGAGAAACATATGCAGATAGATGTTTTCCAAAGGCTGAAGTGGGAGGAAAAGCTTCAAGATTGGAAAAGAATAAAACTTATTGATGCAGTCAACCGGTTCAAGTATGTCTGATATTAAAGAGTAAATAGT